ATGCGGCCCTTGGCGCTCCGGCCAGGAGCTCGGGCAGCCTCCCGCCCCCCGGCACTCACGCGGTGGGGGTGATGCCAAGGTCCACCTCGATGCTCAGCCGTAGCCCGGTGTGAGGGACGAGAGACAGAGACAGCTCGGCGACTTTGACGGAGTTAATTTGGTTCTGGCTGGAGCAGAAGTGAAGGTGTCAGGAGACCAGCACAGCCTGATGTGCAATCCCTGTGCGTTCGCAGGGGGCAAACCCCCAAAGTCCGTGAGATCTGCACAGATAAATCGGTGCCCGAGGCGGCACTGGGGCTGCTGCACTTACACCCCAAGGGAGGAGCCAGGAGCTTGTTTCTAAGCCGCTCTGGCAAACAGCCGTGTTGGTCTCCAGGAGGATTTTGGCCTTTGCAGGGAAAATCCCTTTTTTGATGATATTCAGCACGCTCCAGTGAAACACCAGCGTGACCCAGTGGCAAAGCCTGGGCAAGGCAGAGCTGTGGTCTCACCTGCTGGGCTTTGGGGAGCCGAGAATCAGGTCTGGGGCGGTCGGGGCCATTAGGTCCCGCCTGAGGACTGCCTCTGCGTGTGGCTTTGAAACTTCAGCAACTGTGAAAGAGGGCAGATGTTTCCTGAGAGCCTCTGGAGCTTGTGCTCTGAGGCACAGAGATGGACAGACTGAAATCTGTCCAGGTGGCACACTTCCATCCCTTCCAACCCCCCCCCCCCCCGCCCTCCTGTTCCTAGATCTAGGAAGAGGAGGGTGGCAGTGATGGCACAAGGTGACGGCGTTTGGTGTTGCATCACCGGACTGAAAGGTGCTGCCGAGGTGTGGGAGAGCGCGGACTTACAGTAGCTCAGTCCTGACGGGGTGAGGATGCCCCCGCAGTTGGGTGACCTGGTGCTGTGCGCGGGGACCAGGAGGCTCAGGAGGATGCTCAGGGCGCGGAGCTTCGCCGGGCCAGCGCCTGGAGGGGGAGGAGGCACCCGCAGCAGCCCGGTGAGAGCGGCACGGCCCCAGCCCGGCCACCGAGGCCACGCTCGGGAGCCACGACCCCGCTCCCGGCGCCGGTCTGTGGTCCCGGGCTTGTCAGCTTTTGTGCGGTAATAACACAGGTGCCGGCGGATTTCGAAGCCCTAACAGAAGGCTCAGCCTTGAAAACCCGCTGCAAGTCGGTAAGCCAGAGCAGTGCCTGCCACCGTATGCCTGCTGGAGGGCATGTAATGGCCCACCACTGGTGTAAAACTAGCAAAGAAACAGGAGCTAAAATTAACTGAGGAACGAATGGAAGTTATGAAGGAGGCTAAAATCAAATAAAAAGGTGAGCGTTATCTACCTCTCTGAAAAACATTTGGGACTTGTTTATAATGTTTGTAATGCTCTTACAATATTAAAAAACCCCAAGTCATTCAGAACATTTAACCTGCAGAAAACATACAGATTTATACCAGTCTGCAGAAAGTGGACTTCTGATGAGAGCTGACCCTTACAGAGACACACCAAAGTAAGCACAAGCCATGCCTGTGTCAAGCTATTCAGTTTGCAAATGCATCTTTACCTTTCCTGGCCAGTCTTCCCATTCTTCCAACTCAGTCCGTGTCTTGCTGTGACCACACCAAGGGATTGTGTTGGCTTTATATACCCCCGAGGCGAAGGCTGGTGGAGCAGAAATTGGCAAAGAGGGCTGGAAACCAGGACAGCGGGTGGACACTTTGTTTTATACACCATTTTCATTGTTTTCCCCGTGTACTTGATTGCGTTGGCCATTTGACCTAGCGGGGTGAAATATTGGACCGCAGGTGCTGGGGCAGCTTGCCTTCATTGTGGCGTTACTGAGGAGCACAAAGAAAGGTCTCGGGGTGGAGGTTGCCAAGAAATCAAGCATTGTTAGAAAGCGAACGTCGGTTTCTTTGCTCTGCAGCCATGCTTGCTTCCAAATACCGCGGGGACAGCCGCCAGCGAGAAGCTGCTGTGGTTTGTGTCGCTCTCCCGGCCGGGCAGGGGTGAGACCTGCACGTGTCGTGCTGAAGGAGGTCTTGGCAATTCATCAAGGATGTCACCCGTTTCCATCAGGCCTGGGTAAGTGTTGGAGTGTTTCTGTTGGGTTAAGTGAGTTTTAGACCAGAGAGGAGATAAATTTCTTTAGAGGTATCCTCTCTAACCTCTGGAACGGCCCGGGTGCAATAACTCCTTCGTCTCTTTAACCCAGTCCCAATCAAAAGCCACTGGCAATATTTATTACAACTGGTAGAAAAAATGGTGGGTGATGTCCACCCTCTTTGATGATGTCTCTACAAGCAGCGAAGGCGTTGATGAAAGGGAGTCAGAGCCCCTCTCCTTCCTGTGCTTGGGCTCCACCGTGTTCCCCTGGCTTCCTTTTGGTCTGGAGGGCAGAGCGTGAACTACCTGAAAATGCCACGTAAGTGCGTCCCCCATGGCCTCTCCCAGCTCCTCCGTGCTCCAACTCCCCACCCCCCCCCCATATTTGTGATCTCGGCTTTGAGGTGTGACCAGTCTTCCAGAGAGGGTTGAGTTGCCCATTTTGCTCCAAATCCCGTGGCAGTGGGGTGAGGTGTGCGGCGCTTGTTGAAACACCTGCTGCCCGGGGAGCACCCATTGTCCTTTGTGCGCTGGGGAAGTGAGTTATTGGGCGCTGGCTCCAGGTGCATCCTGACACGTCCAAAGCCTTTGGCTCTCACCGGCGCCGTATCGCTTTTCTTCTCAGCATGGCAGAGAAAATGCCAAGAAAAGCGGAGTTCCAGCCGTGCTGTGCATTCCCACTGAAGGCATCCAGATAGCAGTGTCAAGAGAAAGTACAAAGATATATGTCTGGCAGCCTACTGAGGGCGAGCAGGATTTACACTTCTACGTTGATGTATGCAGCCTATTTAGAGGCAAGAAATGTGTTCAGAAAAGTAAATCTATTGAAAAAGTTGTAACCTACCGATGAGTCCCCTGGAGCCGTGGGAAGAGTTTTGTGGCATCTGACTTGGGCAGGGACATGGACACGACCTAGAACAGTCTCTGAGAAATAAGTCTTTGCTGTGTTTTAGAGCAGCGGTTGGAAATTTGCCCCTTCTATACCTCGTTCCATTGCGGGTAATGTGAGCAGCTCTTCCCGAAGCGGCACTGGAGATTTATCTGTGGAGCGGTATTATCATTTACAGCAGTGCGAGGGTCTGGGGATAAGCTGCCAGGACAAGATGGCACTGTGGTGCTCAGAGGTGGATTTTCTCCTCCTGAAGAGCTGTTCTGGACCGGATGATCCCTGTGGAGGCTTAATTAGATGTCAACTTATAGCATAATGACTGATCAAGTTACTAGCACAAAAGTGTCTTTCTGGCATGATGCGTTCCTTATCAGGAATTATCTATAAATCTTACACTCCTGCTAGATAAGATGTAAATCTCCCTGTCTGGGCTTAGCAGAGAGCCACTGAGTACATCACTGGGAGGGAGATAATGGCAGATTAAGCCTCATGATGCATTTTATACAGAAAAGAACAGAAGAAATAAATTACTTGGTGCTGTAGGGTCCCACCGGGGTAAGCTTGCAGAGTGGGGTCCTGCTGTGTGGGGGTGCCTGGGAGGGGATGGGTGAGGACACCGTGGTGGCCACCAGCCCGGCTCAGGCAGGGCCACGGTGGTGGCAGCAGCGTGACCAGCCCGGGGGGAGCTCGGTGCAGCCCGGCCACAGTCTGGTGGGATGCACTGCTCCCCCGCAGCAGGACGGGGACAGCGTCGGGGCTGAGAAGCCCGTTCTCTGGGCAGGTGATGGTTCTTAGCCTCACTCCAACCCTGCTGAAATCAGTAAGAATATTACTGAGATAACCACAATTTCTACTGGGTTATCCACCGGCTGATCCCATGTGCTCCCACAGCGTCTGCACAAGCTCCATGAACCTTTGGGGAGCAAAAGCCACTCATCCCGGGAGTCACAGTTCCAGTGTGGGTGTCTCTGAAAGCAGAATTTAACGTTGCACATCTCAGGTTTCTCCTCGCCCCCACTCCTGCCTGTACCATGTAATTAAACAGATTAGGTTTTTCTTTCAGACTTGACACGCAAGTCGCTGTTGGCTCTCCCGGGGCGTTGAGCAAGAGCGCTGGTTTGGCTGGGAGCACTTGCCTGGTACCCAAGGCTTGAGGCTTACCCAGACTTTCAAATTTATTACTGCAATTATTTGTATTGGCGGATGTCAGAAACACTCGGGGATTAGCTTACACCGCAGTAATTACCTAGCCCTTAACTTCTTTTGGTTTTCCTCTCTCTTGGTCAGGGTTTATATACAGGCTGTTTCTTGCCTCTCTCCAGAAGACCAGCGCAAAGCTTGGCCAGCCCCTGGGGACTCTCCAGGTGAGGTGACACCAGGGCCCTTCCCTGCAGGGTTCCCCGCCCTGGTGAGGTGCAGCAGCTCCCGTCATTTCCCTCTGGTACCAGCAAGAAGGGGGAGGCCAAGCTGCGGCAGAGCGGTGGAGCCGTGTCCTTCGCCCGTGGAAAGGCTCGTCACGCCTCGCGCCACGGCCGAGAGCCGTGAGCAATCCTGCCGGGGCCGGGGCCGGGGCCGGGGCCGGGGCCGGGGCCGGGGCCGGGGCCGGGGCCGGGGCCCGGGCTGGCCCGGAGATGCCGCGAGCCGTGCGCTGTGTCGGGCAGCTCCAGCCCCTCCCCTGCGGCAGGTTCCAGGTGCTCGTGGAAGAGGAAGGCTGAGCGCCCCGCTTGGGTACCGACCCCGGGGCGCGCGACGCAGGGTGCAGGCGCGTCCCGATGGAGCTGCTCTGGGGTGTTCACAGACGCCTGGGTTTTGGGGAGTGATTCCCGTAAGGAGGCTGTGTCTTGGCTAGTGTAGCTCTGCTGGACTCGCACGGAGCCCTGCTCACCTTCCTCGAGTGCGAGTGCAGTGCTCAGCCCCTCACGCGTGGTTTGGGAACCGTCGCCAGCTCTTTGTCTCTCTCTGTCCGTTGAAGCCCACGCGCCCCTGGAAGCCTCTGGAGCTCCGTGAGCAGCTGTACCGGCTCAGGAGATGTCAAGGGTTTGGGGCGTTTTGCTCCTTGGCGGCTGGCTGGCGTGGTCAGGAGGAGCTTCTGGCCCGGGAGCTGTGGTCAGGATGGATCTCGGAACGATTGGCCGCGGTAAGCGTGCAGCCACGCCGGCGTCCGTGCGCGAGTCCGTCCGTGCAGAGAAGCGGGCAGCCTGCGTCCCCCCGCACGTCCACCCCGTCCCACGGGGGTGCTGCCAGCGGGACCCCGCGGCCGTGACACCCTGGTGTGTCGTCTCACTGCTGTGTGGTACGTTAAGGCGGGAACCTGAAAACGCCCCCGTGTCTCACGTCTAAATTCACACTGTGTGTGCAGCGCGGGCCTGCCGAGCTCCGGCCGTTACCCACATCAGCGTCAGTGCTGACAATCTGAATTTACAGCACCCGAAGCATCCCGCTGGTGCCTGTGTGCGTTGGAGTGGAGATTTGTTAATAACAATGTTTTATAGGGTACGGTGGGGAGTGCAAGTCCCCCCACCCTCCAGCGCAGGCTCCTCCCTGGGGATTTTGTGCTAAATGTCTCGTCTTGTGCAAATCTTCCAGCGGTCTCCACTGCTCTGAATGAGAGTGATGTTCTGCAGAAAATGGCAGAGGAAGCCGCAAAAAAAAAGCCAAACACCAAACCCATCAAAGGCATCTCGGGGTGAGTGATGATCAGCAGCATTACAGCACGAGCCTGAACCTGGGAATGAGAAAATAAAAGCAGAAGGTTGGGAAGTGTCAGCCTGGAGGCAGAAACGAATCACTCCCCGCTAACAAGTGTGATATTAAAGCCGGTGATTTTCTGCATGGTTGTGTCTCCAAATACATGGAGAAACTATAACTTAAAGGCAACAAAGCGCGTCGGCTCCTGCCTCAGCGCTGGCTGGGGACTGCTGCAGCGGCTCTGCGGTGCCGGCTGGGGTTCGCTCGCAGAGCCGGGGGTGCCCGGCTTGTGTCAGGAACATCCCGAGCGAGCCCCAGAATTTCTGGGGGACGAGAGCTGGGCCTCCATCCCGCAGATTCGTGCTGGCTGAAGGCATGGGGACATTTTGAATGCCAACGTATTTTTTTTCCAAGTTTGTTCAGAATTAAACTGTGCAATCATTTTGTTAGGAAGAAACGTGCTTCTAAATTTAAGACTGGTTTTAGATGGAAAGTTTAAACAAGAAGTGAAAGAATAAAGAAAGATGGTGATGGCAAAATCAGCGATAGGTGGCTGTGATGTAAGCAGCCGGGCTTGGCTGCTCTGTGGACTCCTCTTTCCCAGCTTTTTTCCTTTTCTTTTTTTTTTTTTTTTTCCCCACAGGCTGAAAGTGAAAGATCTCCGTCCCCCCGTGATCTCACTGATGCTTGCGCCGGGCTCAGGGCTTTTCATGGCCGTCTTAGTCCAAATGACCATCACTGGGAGAAGGTGAGCAGGAACTGGTGCCCGTGGGGGAGAGACGGAGCTGGGGGGGCTGGGGGGAGCTGGGGGTGGCTGGGGGGAGCTGGGGGGGAGCTGGGGGGAGCTGGGGGGGGCTGGGGGTGGCTGGGGGGGAGCTGGGGGGGGCTGGGGTTGGCTGGGGGTGGCTGGGGGGGGGGCTGGGGGGAGCTGGGAGGGGCTGGGGTTGGCTGGGGGTGGCTGGGGGGGGGCTGGGGGGAGCTGGGGGGGGCTGGGGGGGGGAATGGCTCGCTCCCAGGGCTTTGCCCTGCGGTGACCGAGCTTTGCTCTGAGCAGCTTTACCGGAGGAAACGTGGCAATCCCCCTGGCCGCAAACCTGTCGGCCAGCAGCCGGCTGGGCCAGGGCCCCGTGGGCAGCCCCAGGTTCAGTGCCAGGAGCTGCCACGTCGCCCTCGTCAGCACGAAACCCAACCTCCCCAGCAGGTGAGTCCCCGCGGCCAGCGCCGAGCGTTTGCCCACGTGAACGATTCCAGGGAGGCAGGTAACAATATTAAACCTTTCAGCCTCCCGGTGCGGGTTTCTACAGAACACAAATGCTTTTCACTGTTTATTTTTTCCACTAAGAAAACCCAAATGTTTTATGGACAAATTCAGGCCAGCTCTATCCTTGTTATTCCATGCAATGTTCATCTTTGGCGTCAGTCCTCATTTAAGTGCTGTATGGGGATATCAGAGCTTCTTTTAGGCGTGGAAACCTTTAGCTTTGTTTAAAACCAGAAGATGGCATTCTTGAGAAAAGGTTTGTACAGAGAGAAAGCATCTTTTATTAGACACTAGGCATATCTTGGCCTAATCCATACCAGGTAGGTTTCTTTAGCGTTTGACTTCCTTGCCTTCTGATCTGTAGTAAATCATTATTACCATGTGCGACACGGCTGTGTCGGCTGATGTGTTGTCTCTGCCCAGCGTGCTGCCCAAAGTCATGAGCAAGTTTCTGGACAGCACCCTTCAGAAAGTGCTGCCAGGTCTGGTAAGTCCGGTCCTCCTCCCATCCTTGTTTCCCAGAGGTCATCTCCTCCTCCTCCTCCTCCTCCTCCTCCTCCTCCTCCTCCTCCTCCTCCTCCTCCTCCTCCTCCTCCTCCTCCTCCTCCTCCTCCTCCTCCTCCTCCTCCTCCTCCTCACCGTGCCGTGACAGGCTTCACAGTTTTGCCGCACAGAGGAGCTTGCAGGCTGGTGGAAGGGAGCGTTCCAAGCAGTTACTGGTTCCGTGCTGCCAGCGCCTGCAGCAAAGGCACTGTCACTGCCTAAAGCGCGCGTCCCAGCCGGCGGGCAGGGGGGTGAAGCTCAGACAGAGCTGGCCCCGAGCCCGAGCCCGCGTGTTCCTAAAGTCTTGTCAAAGGGCAGATCTGCAGCTTCTTAACACGTGTCAGAAAGTCGGTCTGGCTTCATCAGGTATCTGTGGGGGGGTCTGGCCCTATTCTTCACTCAGTTTAAGGCAGGTTTGCTCCAGAATAACCTAATTCAACCAGGGACAGAGAAAAGGGAGGCAAGCCCTTGTCTGGGTAATTGGTAGTGGAGGGCTCTGGTGCTTCTGGATGGGAGTTGTGCTGGTCTGGCAGCCACGAAGCTCTGCTCCCACCAGAAGCCTCCATGCAAGGTTTTCTCACACTTTTCTTCTTGCCCTACAGCTGTGCCCAGCCGTGGATGCAGTGCTCAACCTTGTGAATGCAAAATTCACCACCATGACTTGTAAGTTGGCATTCACCCCTCCATCCATTCCTCCCTCCATCTCCTCCCCTCCCCTGGCAAGGAGAGAGCGCAGCTCTATCACCGCGCCTAGACAATCTGCTGAGCCCTGACTAGGACCAGGCAGGGACAAACCCCAGTGGGGGCCACACGGATACCCACCCGCTCCTCAGTGCAGATTCGGGAGAGCCTGGCACCACAGAGGCTGGCAGGGGTCAGGAGCCCACCGAAGCTGTAAATGGCACGTGGCACTGGTGCACCAGTGGTGTGGTGCTGGTGCACCAGTGGTGTGGTGCTGGTGAGTGCTCTCCCCAGGGCGCAGAGCGTGCACCTTCTGGTTAAGCGTCCCACTTTGCTTCCACGCAGCCGAGATCCCTCTCGGGACTGCTGGGACCCTCCAGTACACTTTGCTGAAGCCCCCGCTGACGAGTGAAATGTTCATAGAGCTGGATTTGAAGGTGAGTGCTGCTGCCTGGCGCCGGGTCTTGGGGCAGTGACCGTTCTGACATCCATCTGCTCGGCGGTGTTGTCCTCCTCAGCCTGGGGAGCAGAGGCTTCGGGAGGGGTGCAGATGGGTGCTGGTTGCATTGTCACCCAACCATCTCCCCAGCTCATCATTTCTATGGAATTTATTGCTCCATTTCGTTACTGAGACTATGGAGCAAAGCATCCCGTACCTCGTACCGGGTCCAAATGCAAATCCTGGAAATGGACCCGTGCTCTCTGACATGGCTCTTCTTACTGGTCCTTTCAGACCATTCTCCACCGAAAGGAGGGACAGGAGGTTGACCTTCCCACGGACCAGCCGGCTCTTGCTTCTCTGCCACCTAAGAGGGCTGCTGCTACCCAGCTCATCCTGTCTGCAAACTTCTTGAGTGCTGAGCTCTCTATTCTGCAGGATTCCTTCAACCTCGAGATCAGCAATAACATGGTAGGTGGTTTGGGCTTGGGAATTTCCTCAAGAGACGACTGAAGAAACCTACTCCCAGGTTCAAGGTGGATCCACGCGCTGTCTATGCCTCCTCCCTTCCCCATGTTAAACTCGCCCCCACCCAAGTGAGTGCATTAAGTCCCTGCCTTGTGACACTTTCTCAACAGGTTCTTGGGCTTCCTCCGCTGGTGACCACGACGCTTGGAGCCCTCATCCCTGAGGTGGGTGGACTTTGCCTGATCCTGTTGCTCCGTGGGTCACCTTAGGCTACCCACGGCGGCAGATAAAGCTGCTCTCCATTCACAAAGACATGCGGGGAACCTTTTCCCCAAGGTCAAACTGGCACTCTGTTTTATTAGTAAAATTTTATTAATAAGATTATTTAAAGACCATACTACTGAGCAGGATGGACCAGCTTGACTGACTCCCACTGGCTTTGGGGAATGTGGTGCTCAGCACCCACCAGGATAATCCCCAGAGTAGTGAACTAGGAAGGAAAGGGAATGTCACCCCTTTGCTTTGACTCTCCACAGATTTCCAGGGTGCTGCCTCCATCACAGCCGGTGGTGATTGAAATGCGAGAAGCCAAAGCACCAGTGCTGACCATAACCCCAGACAAAAGCTTTTTGCAGCTCTTCAGCACCGCCGAGTTTCGAGTTCGCCCTTCTGACTCTGCTCCCGCATCCCTGTTTGTCCTGGATGTTGTGAGTTGAAGCGTTTTGCAGTCGGTGAGGGCTGAGCGTGGCCGTCCCTGCCCTGAGCCAGCAGACACGTGCCAACCCCGGAGCGAGAGATGCGGGACAGTGGGCAGGGATGTCTGTCAGGATGATGCCTGGCTGGGGGGTCCTGGAGTGCTCGGGGGGAGACCAGGCTCCTGGTGGGGACCCCCTTTCCCTTTCCCCTTGCAGCACAGCAACCTGGAGGTGCAGTTTGCCATTGCAGAAGAAAAGCTGCGGCTCTCCCTCGCTCTGCAAAGGTAACGTGGCTGCTGGTCCCCAGTGCCACCACCAGCAGTGTGGCCGTCCCTGGGCTGCCGGGGAGGCCACACGCTGCATCTCACCCCCACATTTTCAGGAGGAACCTTTGCTGTCTCTGCATGACCTTGTTATGGTTTATACTAACAGCTTTTTAAAGATAGAGGAGGCTCAATGTGATGTAATCCAGCTGACCTGAAACCTGTTGGGTTTTTTTGCCCTTTAAGCTTGAAGAGCTGGACTTGGTTCAGGCTGGAGAAAATGTTCTCGGTGGGAGGCAGCCGCGTGCTGGGGGGAGGCCAGGGCACCTCTGGGGCGAGGTGGGGTTTGCTGGAGGGTGCGACGGGGGTGAGGAATTTGCTGAGAGTGACAGAGGGACTCGTCCAGAGGCAAATGCTGTTGTGCTTTCCCTCTCCCCGCAGCCTGCCGCGGGTGGCCTTGGCTTCCTCCTCCCTCGGGACGTTCGATGTGAGTTGGGTGGCCTGGGCCGTGCCTGGGGCTGGCGGTTTGTGTAATGCTGTACCAGGAATTCGCTCCCCGGAGCCCTGTCCTGCTCCTTTCATTATCAATAACAGATTTGTTAAAAAAGAAACCAACAAAAAAACCCCAACAAACAAACAAAAACAACGAGAAAACCAAAGCGAATGCTGAAGATTGAAATGTTATTTCAAGGAACAACATTTCAAAGAGTAACAAATGGCAAGTCAGCTGCCAAAGCCGTGAGCCCACAGGCACGGATGCTCTGGAAGGGGTCCCTGCTCCTAACGCACCGGATTCATTCATAGAAGAGTTTTGGCCATGAGTAACAACCCCCAGTGCGGCACCGGCGGGGCGGGAGCGTGGGCTGGGCTGAGCTCGCCTGGGCTGGGTGTTGAATCTGCTCATCTCCCTCTAATCCTGAGGCTGAGGGATACCTGCCCGGGGGGTTGTGTGTGCCGACCCCAACTCCGGGCTGCCAGGAGGGTGCCCGGTGCCGGCAGGGCAGAGGGCAGAGTGCCGCCGGCGCTGGGAACCCTCTCGTTGGGGCACTTTGCATGGAAATTCAGAAATTTTCCGATGTTCCCGTTCTGCCTGGGGGGGACCTTTGCAGGTTTCCTGCGGTTGGAGAGGGCGCTGGGGGCATCGGTGGGGTGAGCCCAGAGACACGGCTCTGGCACACGGAGTGATGGGCGGTTTACACCACTTCTCTGTGTTTCAGGAGCTTCCGCTGAAGGGAGTTTTGGCAGATATTATTCACGTGGCCTATGTGCCATCGATCAACAGTAAGCACGGCTATGGCTTCATCTGAGGATTTGCTATCCGCATGGGGGAAACAGTTCTTATTTCTTTTCCTATAGACTGTTTTCTGGGGTTTTTTTTTTTTGGAAATGGCATTGCCTGACTGACCTTGCATGATTTTCCTGCCCCCAAGACTGTGAGTGACTCTGCCAGGAAAATCACTTGCCAGCTGTTTTGCACCATGGGGTTTGCTGTGGGAGCTGGAGGAGGGCAAAGCCTCCCGGTCAGGGCTCCGGCATGCCCACTCCTTCAGAGGCAGGAGAGATCTGTCCACACAGAGCAGATCCACGACAAAGGATGCAGGCTTCTTCTCTGAAGCCTCTTTTGAACGTTGTTCATGTCCTCAAAGTCAAAGCCACTTGCCAGGATAAGATCTTTGCCTTTCTGAAGTCTCCAAAAATCGTCATGTCCCTTCTTACCATACCTAAAATTAGACAAAGTGTCAGTAAAAAACCCCACCCTGGAGCACCGATTTATGTGCTTAGCTCGCATGGAAAGTATGCCAAAAGCAGAGATTTTATTCATGTTAAAATACACAAAACGAGGAATTCCCACCCTGTTAATTTTCCTTCTGAGGATTCTGGCAAGGGCCAGACCGCTGGCAGGCGCGGCCGGCAGGGAAGCGCCGGTGGTGCCGGTGGTGCCGGCCGTGGCCGGGTCACCTCTGACCGTGGCTCCCGCTCGTTCCAGGGGTGCTGCGTGGAGGGGTCCCCCTGCCCGACCTGCTGGGCATCACCTACCTGCGGGCGAGCCTCAGCCGGGGGGAGGTAAGCGCGCTCACCCGGGTCACCCCTGCAGTCGGTGCCGTTAGTCCGTCACACCTGAGCGCGGAAGCAACTGTTAAATCCTGCCCACGTGCTTTTTATTTTTAAATCTGCAGAATGCTCTAGTGCTGGACGTGCCCGTCACGGAGAGCTGAGGCGCGGGGAGGTACGGGTGCAACCCGCCGCTGCTGCGAGGACCCGGCAGGACGGGCTGGGAGAGGGAGCAGCAAGGGTGCTGGGGTTCCTGGGGCGTTTCTTCCTCTTTCCTTGACTTTTCTGTAGTTTGGCTCCACAAGCTGAAATAAAAAGCCCCCACCAGCCCGCGACAAGGCTCTGGCCTGCCGTGTGCCCAGAGGGGCCAGCTGGGCATGTCTGGGCAGAGGTTGTATTTCCTGACCTAAAGAAGTCACTTTTGCGACAGAAATAGCACGTGCGTTAGCGCGCTCAGGCGGCAGCGTGTGCTGCTGGCCGGGGTGCAGCACCCCCATCTCCCGCAGGAGGGGGGTGCCAGAAGGGACCCCCCTGCTCCTGGGGTGCATGTGCTGTGAGAGGAGGGGAGTGTGTCTGCAGCCCCCTGCGGGGATTAGAACTGCTCGGAATGAGCTAGAGACAGGCATTTAGACATCTCCATGTGTTTTTTAATATTTCAGAAGTGCCTAGCATCGTGGTTTATCAGCTGCATTGCAGATATTGATCCCAAGCGTATAGTTCACTGATTGCTGGATAATTACCTGTCATTAGTAACTCAATAAACAGCTTCGATCCTTATTTCATCGAGCCAACATGATTTGAACATTTTTTTTTCCTGGTGACAAGTACCTGGTGCAGAATTAAGGATATCTTTGAAAAGATTGTTGCGTTTTTAAGAAATTGTCCCCAAGAAGATCTCGCTGTGAGGCAGACTCTGAGAACTCCATTTGTTTTCATGTGTGCACTGCCAGACCCAGCAGGCGTTTGTTCTGCAAGGCTTGTAAGGAATTGTCCTCATCAGGCGTCCTAAGCAATGAGGGAAGCAGCCATAAAACCCGCTCCCCATGAGGACGGGTGTTTATGGTGCCTTCTTTCTTCATTTCACTGCAAACATTGTCAATGCCAAGCACATTTTTTTTTTTTTAAGAGATTTCCCTTATTGTTCTTGCATTAGCTAGTAAACAATCGAACAGTTTGAGTCTGGATTTTCTTAAGAAGAGCAAAAAAGTGAATCAAAATATCTACATTCAGCCTTCCTAGGAGAAATCAAGGCTGAAAATCTCAGGGGGCACCCGGTTCATTTTTCATGGAGCACTTAACCACGCTGTCAAGCTGCACGATCACGTAGCCGGTACTGGGTGCCCCGGGGCACTTGGTGGAGGTGCAGCCTTGGGCCACGTGCAGACACCAGCATCGTCCCCTGGAGCTGAACACCCACCCCAGCAGCCCCGATCCCCCCAGTCCTGGCGGCTGTACCAGTCTCTCACAGTTAATGGTCCCAGACTGCCCAGGCGCGGGGATTTCCTCGGTCAGAAAGGCCACATCTGGGCGATGCCATCAAGGGGGGAGCAGAGCAGAACCCTCTAATTTTTCATCCAGGGCTAATGCATTTCACTTTGCCCGTGCTGGTCAGAGCCTACCCCCCTCTTACTAACATCGAGATCTCTAACGCTTCTCGAGGCATGTCCCTCTTGCTGCCTGGTCTTACGGCTCCATTGCCAGGTGATCTGAGCATCAAAGCGGCCTCTGTTCACATCAGCCCTATTCTTCTCCCTTTTGACCAAATCTGTTCTGGTTGACTCTGTTTCTGTCTTCACACAATGATTTGATTTCATGTTCCTGGGGCTTTGAAAGTTGCTTTAGCAAGACCTGAACATGACAATGTCATTCTCTTTATGGGAATCTGCTTCGATTTATCGAAAATATTTAATTGTCAGAGACCTCTGCATTCAGCAACAGCTGGTGAGAGGCCAAGTTACTGTCATGCCTGAAAGGTCACTGCTCAGAAGCTATTCTCTGTGGTGCCAAAGGGCCCCTTCACTGTGTGCTGACCGTTATCAGGTCTGTCTTTATGGCAATTCGGGTTTCATATAGCGATTGCCTAAAGTATAAAGTGATTCAGGAGGGATGAGAACATAACACCATCTTGTTAACACTCTCTTCCACCTTATCAAATGTCATGATCTAGCTGTGACAGCAAGGCTTTGTGCTCCCAAGGTGCCTGGCTGATCAGGTTGCAAGGAGGGTGACAACTCCTTAAGTACTTTGGCACCTTTGCCATCCCTTCCTTGCCCTTTAGCTAAGATATTTTTTAAAGCTGGAATTAATGTGTGACAAAAGCTGGCTAATCTTCTGGAAATACTTATTTCCAAGTTTGCAGAAAGTATTAACTCTGAGCAAGCATTTGCCTGAACTATTATTCTTCTGAGCTGAGGAGCAGCCCACCCGCCCCTGTCATTAATGAGGACATCAGGGGAGTGAAGAGTTCACCACCGTCCCCTTGGCTGACACATCCCCCCTCCGCCACGGACAGCCTTCGCTGTGCACGTCGGGACACGATCCACACACACGGACCACATTTGGTCTGTGGCCTGCAGAAGAGGGTTTTCTTTTTCCTGCCCCAAAGAGCTGCTGCTCCGGTGCAGCTCGAGGCAGGGGCTCCATGTGTCCGTGCAGGGCCAGGATGGGGTGAAAGGGAGAAAGCCAACGTGGTTGTGGGTGCGCATCTTGGCTCAGCAGAAATCTTTCTCTTTTTCTCCTGCCTCTAGCAGTAAACTATCTGGGAGTAAATGAGCCATGATGGATCAGGCAGGACACAATTTTTCAGCATGGAGAAAACCTGGCCAGAAATCTGAGCGGGTGAGGGCCTGGACAGAGCTGATCCTGGGCAGCTGCGTGGCTGTTCCTCTCCTGCAGCACATCTGTTGCATGGGGTGGTGTGTCAGGGAGGCCACCTCCCTTGATATGCCCACACTGGGATCAACAGTCCCCCCCGGACTTCAAAATGATCCAGAGCTGCCAAGCTCTAGCCTGGGAGCTCCCTGGCTTCATGGTCAATGGCATCGCCCCCTCAACAGTATCTCCCCGTGACAGCACATCCCACCTCCAGTCCTCCTGGAGCGCTCAGAGGTAGAGGTGGTGGACCTGGAAATGATGCCGTGTCAGCTAGACCAGTGCAGCATTTCCGAATCGGATGGTGTCTCTCCAGAGTCTGTCAGCTCAGGTTATCCATGAAGCCGTGACACCTGATTGCTACGTGTCACCACGGTGTCCCTGTTCCTTCCCAACTCAATACCTCCTTTTCCTCAGTTAACAAATGGATTGTGAACCATTCAGGTCACTGGATGGGTGCTGGTGGCTTTGATAAGTGTTGGGTAAGGTCACAGTCTGTAGGCAAGTTGGGATGGGAATTCTGGGCACGTCCTGCTGGCCTGGACAGTGAAGACCCAGCTTGATCTCCACGGTCTGTCTTTACACTGGGAAAGGTGCTGCCTGGTCCTTCAGTTGTCACCCATAACATGTGGCACATCCCCACTGCATGGGGCTTACTGCAAGGGTAACGTGCCCAGTACTGCAGCACCGAGGACTATAGAAGTACTTGACAGGGAGGGCTGGACAGTATTTTGACACATTTTTCAGTCAAAACCTCAATTTTATTTGGAAAAAAAAAAAAAAATTAAAAAAAGGCATTTTATTAGTGCATGACGTTTCAGACACGTCCGCATCTCAACGCAGGAGCAAGCCCAGAAGGCTGACGTACGAAACGAGGCAGTGGTGTGCAGACTGGCACCCAGCGCTGGCCGGGTCTGCCTCTGCACCTACAGGTCATTGCTCAATGACTTGCCTAACTCCTCACATCTCTAGGGAAATATTTGCAGTGGAAGTCACCAGAAACCATGCATTGTTTGTTTTGCTCCCCGCCAAGTCTTCTGGCTGTCCTCGATGACATCGCTGGCCTTTCCTGCTGTAAAGGTCTATATATAGGAGGATGCTTGATGCAGGTCGTCTTCAGAAGACAGGGACATCGGCTGGAGACAGCCCCGCACTCGAGAGCTTGGTCAGGTAAGAGCAAACTTATTCCTCAGGTAAGAGCAAACTTATTCCTCAAAGAGAGTGCTCTTAGCTTCTGCAAATCCGGCTGCTTCCCAAAGGAGAACCCTTAGTGTTCGTTTGGGAGCATTGGCTTTTTAACAAAAACTGTTGTTCTTGCCTGCTGCCTGCCTGAATTGTGCTCCAACAAGTAAAACGTGCGCTGGATTTCACTACGAGGTCCTCAAGAACAGACTTGCATGTTCATTGTTTCTGGAGTCCTTGAAGAAGAAAGGGTATTTCATGGTTTTCATAAACAATTATCCCTGAAATTATTATTGGTATAACTCTATTATCTGAGATAAATTTTTAGCTAAGGTGAATTAGACCTCTCACACTTGTGTTGATCCCTTTTTGTTGTACTATTTACATTTAAATAGATTTGAGGCAATGAAGTCCATTGTGGTTCTTTAAAAATAAAAAAGCTACTTCAATTTGTAGGTCCCAGAGAAATATTTCAGTGACAATGAAACTTTAAAATTTATTTTCTCCATCTTACAATTCTAGCAAAAACTGCTTTTATGCAGGGGGAATCCTCAGATGTTTGATGCTTGTGAAGAGATCATGACATTCAAACACGGAGGTGCTCTCCTTGCCAGCTGTGTCGGTGCATTTGTCCTGTGCAGATGCCATTGATCTTTCTGTGACCAGAGATGCTTGTGTTGTCAGAAATGTCCTATTTTCCCATCATGTGGGATACAGGGTCTTGTTTCTTGGAGAAATTCCCACCCAGAACAGATGCACCCCAGATCATTCAGATCGGTCACCAACATTGCTCACCGGCACTGGGGGATTACAGCAGGAACGACTGAACAACCAATTGCTTTTCACTTGGCTGCTGTGACAGTCGGTCCTTGGAGCAATTGGGGTTGAGGTTCTGGTTCCTCCTGCAGGAAGGTCCCATCAGGAGTTTCACTGTGCTCACTGGTGTGGTGAGGAGGCAGGAGAGTTGCCAGCAGCTTCCTCTCTGATTTTGTTTTCCCTGACAGGCATTCCTCCTTTTTCTTTCCTCCCTCCTCCTTTCCTCCTTCCCTCCTTCCCCTGCCTTGTGCTCACTGGCCCAGCATTGCACTGATGCCAATCACTTTCTACAGTTCTGGAGACCAAAGATGACTGGGTTCTTGGCCATTTTCCTCCTCTGCAGCCTGCTGACCCCTTCACAAGGACTTGCAATCACGCCCTCAGCTGCCAAAGAGGGTATAGATGGTAAGTGTATGGAAGAGCCGGGATTTGAGACCAGTCCTGCTCTTCCTGTCTCTTGGCCATGCTCAGAAAATCAGAAGCTGGTCCAGATTCCTTCAGCAGTAGTGGCAATGTTGGTAATTTGCATTTGTAAAGCACTTTGGCGGTGGCGTTTGGATACTTTACAGTGGCTGGTGCCACCAGCCCTATTGTATGAAGAGGGAAATAGAGGGACAGTGGAGGGGAAGGAGCAGCCAGGCTGACACAGCATGCTTGTGTGCTGTGTCCACATAGATCACAGTGACCTCTCATCTTTTTTTTTTTTTTTTTTCAGATCTTAACAGTACACGAACAAAACGTGACCTCCAGAAGCTTCAAGGTGGACTCCCTGGCAGCAATCTGCTTGGTGGTCTCCTTGAAAAAGATAATCCTCTTGACGGAGTCCTTGGTGGAGACGGTGTCCTTGGTGGTCTCCTCAGCAGAGATGGTGCTGTTGGCAGTCTCCTTGGCAGACGTGGTCTCCTTGGCAGAAATGGTGCTGTCGGTGGTCTCCTTGGTGAAGATGGTGTCCTTGGTGGTCTCCTTGGAAAAGATGGTGTCCTTGGTGGTCTCCTTGGAAAAGATGGTGTTCTTGGTGGTCTCCTCGGTAGAGATGGTGCTGTTGGAGGTCTCCTTGGTGGAGATGGTCTCCTTGGTGGAGATGGTCTCCTTGGTGGAGGTGGACTCCCTGGCATAGATGGTGTCCTTGGTGGTCTTGGTGCAGATGGTGCTGTTGGAAGTCTCCTTGGTGGAGATGGTCTCCGTGGAAAAGACGGTGTCCTTGGTGGTCTCCTCGGCAGAGATGGTGCTGTTGGAGGTCTCCTTGGTGGAGGTGGTCTCCTTGGTGGAGGTGGACTCCCTGGCATAGATGGTGTCCTTGGTGGTCTTGGCACAGATGGTGCTGTTGGAAGCCTCCTTGGTGGAGATGGTGTCCTTGGAAAAGACGGTGTCCTTGGTGGTCTTCTCGGCGGAGATGGTGCTGTTGGTGGTCTCCTTGGAAAAGATGGTGTCCTTGGTGGTCTCCTTAGTGGAGATGGTGCTGTTGGGAGTCTTCTTGGTGGAGATGGTGTCCTTGGTGGTCTCCTTGGCCAAGATGGTCTTGTTGATGATCTCCTTGATGTTCTTAGTAGTCTCATTGGCAAAGGTGGTCTCCTTGGCAAAGATGGTCTTGTTGGCAATCTTCTTGTAAAAAACGGTGGAGTTCTCACAGGGTGAGTGAGAGTGGGAGACGCGTGTCCCTGAACAGCCCTTGGTGTGTCTGGGTCACCCTGGGGCAAGGAGGCTCTGGTCTGGAGCCTGCTGGCTGAACACACGGGGCCCCTCTTTCCCCTCCCGGGGCAGGTTCATAAAGGGGGGGTTCAGGTGTTGGGGGTTTCTGTATGTGCCACAAGCTGCTCGTGGCTGGTGGGGATCCCTGCTGACCCTGGGCAGCGAGGACCCCAAGACCACGGCTCTGCAATCAGCCGCAGTGCTGGGGGCTGAGGGCACGGGGCATCCACTGGACCAATGTGCTACTTGCTGCCTTTTCCTTGTTTCAACCATATTCAGGATGAAAATTGTGAACAACACCCTCCCCAAAATAAGTGTGCGCTCCCTTCCAGGCTTTGGGCACCAGGTGGGCTTCAACACCCAGCTGCTGGTCGAGAGCACCAGGTACGGCGTGTCTGGCAGGGGCACGGCTGGGGGCTGGGGGTCGCCTCCTCTTTGGAAAGCAGATGGCCAGGAAATTCCCTGAGCCACGTGTGGTGTTTCCCCCCGTGCAGCACGCCGGGCAAGGCGCTCTGCGTGCAGGTGGAAGCAGATGCGGTCATGCTGGTCCAGGACAAGTTGGAGTCTCTTCAGAACAATGAGGACTGCAAGACTTCCGACATAACGATCCGTGTGAGGTAGGAATCCGTGTGAGGTGTCACCCGTGGGAGGGTGGCATCCGTGTGAGCAGGGTGCTCATGGCCAGCACGTGGCCCCTGTGGCAGTGGGGGCCTTGGCCGCTGTTGGCCATCGAAGGCAGTGCTTCCTTGCCCAACGCCTCGGAGAGTGAACTACCCGGCTGCCGGCCTCAGAGGGGAACTCCTGACCATTCTTTTAAAGTTTGGGCTCAAGAAAGAATATTTCCAGTTTTTGCTGGGTACCTAGCACCAGGCTGGCTTCAGAGGGCTCAGTTTTGGTAATATTTTAGCACTGAATATGGCCCTGGACAGTGCAAGTGAGGCCTCGTATTTCTCTTGTGTGAAGCGCTCTTATTTTCCAGCCGTTAATCTACGCCGCTCTTTATTTCCTATTTTCCTGCTACCCAGACCCAAAGTGCCGCTTCTGGATCAGCCCTTAAAACGCCTCCTTAGTGATGCCCTGCGCGAGGTGGTAAGTCTACAAAGCAACCTTCACGTGAGCCATCAGCACGGTGTGGGGCAGGAGGGGCAGCCCCCGCGCAGGTGCTGTTTGCACAGCTGCGGGCTCCGTGGGGCAGTCACCCTGCCCTCTGTGCCGACGGCCCCGGCACCTCGCCCGCCCCGTTGGCTGGGCCAGGCTCCGCCGGCCAGCGGGCTCGAGCCACGCAGGGCTAGTGGCCACAGGGAGCGAGTCTTGCCCGGGATGTGAAACCCCCCCCCGGCTCGGGGGCTGCTCACCCACCTGGTGCCGAGCGCTGCGGTTACGGGGTGTCCCCCCCCAACCCTGCCCGGCGGCAGCCCCCGCCCGCGCGGTGCAGCCCCGGCAGGGCTCGCTTGTGCTGGTCGTGTCAAGGCAAGGGGTGTCCGTGGGTGCTGCGGGTCCCAGGGCTCTGACCTTCCTCTGCCTCCCCAGGGGTGCAACATCGTCAACACCAGGCTCAGCGCCGTGGGCTCAGTGCTCGGCTCCAGGACCCGTAAGTGCTGGCACCCTCCTTTTCCTCTTCTCCCAGTGAGCCTCTGCAGTTAGGGTTGACTGTTTTTTTGTTTTGTTTTGTTTTTTTTTTTTTTTCCATTGGGTAAATACAAATATTTTAACTTTGTAAAAACACAACTCTCAGCTCAAGCACAACATTCTGTTTCCCTTGACCCAGAGCAGCATCAGACAGTTTTTCCTGCAGAAAGCCACTTCAGGAACCGTTGATTTTACAAACAACATTTTTGCTGCAAAATAGTGCTTTCTAGAGGCTCATCCAGCTGGGAACACTGAGCAGGAGCCAGCGCTGGTTCCGATACCTCTTGGGACCGCTGGCTTTGGGAGCATCCCCCTCTCACTGCAGCCTAAAAGCTCCTCCCTGTGTCCCACAGCTGCGCTCCCGCTCGGGGCTCTGGGGGACCTGCCCCCCTTTTCCATCATCAGCGACAACGCAATCCAGATGGATCTAAATGTAAGTGCCACCACTTCCCTGGCCCCAAACCCTTTGACTTAATGAGTTTGGGTAATTCACCTGAATGCGGTGGCTGTTTGTCGAAGGCTTCTATTATCCCAGCTGCCTTCAGAGGAGCATTTGCCGGGAGATGCTGATGAGCGCGGTCTGGCTGTGTCCGTGCTAACGCCACCACTGGGTCTCTACCTTATTTTTTACTTGCTAATTCCTGAGGGTAGCATGAGCCACATTGGCTTGATACTGCTTAATCAAGCATAATTGTAGCACTCTCATAGTTGTTAATCGAAAAAGCTTAATTTCATAGAGGGGCAGTGATCACCGTTCACGAGCAGGCTCCATTTATAAGTGGTTTGTAAAAGTTTGGTAGGTAATCGCTAGGGACCATAATCAGGCCAAAAATATTGGCAATGCTGGCCCCTCCGATGGGGAGATGCCAGTGCGTTAAAGGGAAAGCTGTGGCAGCTCCAGCCCTTGCTGGGGCTGGGACAGGCTGGAGCAGCCGTGAGTTTATTAAGGCGTCGATGAACCTCGCGTGAGCCTCTCCGCGAGGTCCCCGGGTGGGCAGGGTGCCCGGTGCGACCGCAGCCCTCCGAGCCCCGCCAGTGTCCCTCCCCTGCTCTGTCCCCTGCAGCTCCTCGTCGGGGACCCGGAGGGCGGCGTGGTGGCCTCCCCGCAGGGCCCGCTCGCTGCCACCCTGCTGCTGGCCACCGGCCACCCGCCGCGGCTCAGCCTCCCCCAGCGCAGCCTCGGCGTCCTGCTGGAGCCGGTGCTGGGGCAGGGAGCCTTCAACCGCAACATCACCAGCTCCACGGTGGGTCCCCGCACCCCTCCCGGGGGCGGGTTGGGGTCCTGGTCACTTTAGGGTGACCCAAGGGTGCTTGCCGCAGCGTGCTCGTGGGGTCCAGCCGAGCCCAGCGTGGGCTTTGCACGACCCCCCCCCCCCCCTCCGGTGCCAATGCTGCCCGTGCTGTTCCCGCAGGTGCCCGATAGCATCTCGCTGTCCACGTCTGCCCTGCTCCCGCTCATCCCCCAGGTCAGCCGCCCACCACCCGCCCCAGCCACACGAAGACCCCCTTGCCCTGACCCCCCTTGCCCCGTGCAGCTCGCCAGGGTCCTCCCCGGCTCTCTGCCGCTGGAGCTGAGCGTGCGGGTGGCCAACGAGCCGGGGATGGCCGTGAAGGACAGAAGAGCCACCATCACCCTCAAAGCCGCCATCGACCTCTTCAGCCCCCTGCTGCAGTCCCCCCAGAAGCTCCTCTTCTCCCTCGATGCGGTGAGTGGGCTCCTGGGGGGTGAGTCCTCCAAAACAGGGTGCGGGGTGGGTCTGGCTGTTCTCTGGCATCCCCTCAGCTTGTCCTGCCCTTACCATGAAGTACCTGTACTTTGGAATTTACTACATCTTCAGAACAGTGGTGCCCACTCCTTTAAAAATGCTCATAACCAAGTGTGAGTGAGATGTTTAGGGCTTAATACAAAATAAAGACAGAAAGAGTGAACCCTGGAGAGAGAGATACATGATGCCATCCATCCAAAGAATGTGATTTCTAGTCACAGACGGGTGTTTTTTCTCAGAACGGGTTACTTACAAATACTCTGGGTTTTCTTTTCAGTCTTGGGAGATATGCAGGGAAATAACTTCATTTCTCCCCTTGTTCCAATTTCAGGACATCGTTCTGAATGTTATCCCATCGGTCTCAAACGGCAAACTGCGAACCTCCCTGGCTCTTGGCAGGTAGCACCGAGCTCTGGGCTCGCTGTGGGCAGGGGGGGCTCTGCCTGGGGCCGCTCCTGGGGGCCTGGCCGCAACGAGCGGGGAGTCTGGTGTAGATGTGGTAGAGATGTAAAGGGCTGCTGGAGCTTTCCTGCCTCCTCCCAGCCCCAGCCTCAGAGCAAGTGCGTGTCTGAAGTCGCCCTGTTTTCAAAATCCGTGTGTTTTTATTTGGGTGGGACAAATTCCGGACCAAGAAAGGGTCTGAGCAGCATTTGGAAGGCTGGAGGAGGGCTGCACCCGATGCACCCCGACTCTGCCTTGTTTTTATCTTTTGTAGCATCAACGTGACACGGGCACCCCTGGGACTCAACCTTCTTGGTGTAAGTGCACACTGCCTGGGGTCGAGGTGCTGCAGCGAGCAATGCGACGGCCAGAGACTCTGTGTAGGGAAGGAGAACCAAAATGCCAATTCTTCAGTCATCACATTTCCTCTTCTCTTGGCAGAGGCCAATTGTTGTCTGCCCTATCCATCCCCTGTGCCCTATAGCACCGACACTCGGATGTCTATGTTCGCTCACTGGCAGTGCACTGGGGGTGCTGGGAAAGGGAGAGGAATAGTCAAGAAAAAATTGCCCAAAGAGCATGTCCCTGTGCATCCTCCCACCCTCAGTCCTGGAAGAGTTTCGCTGTGGGAAGCTTCCCAGCATTTGTGTTTCTTAGCGCTGAGCATGCTGCAGGGACAGGGACAGAACTGAACTGGGAAATAAGCCTGACATGGCTGGTGCCATCCCAATAAGTGTTGGTCTCTTCTTCACACGCTGACATGCATCTCCTTCCCCCGCAGGTCTCCCCGCTTGCAGGATGGCTCCAGGGAGTCCTTGGGGCTGCATACGTACCTGCCATTAACGGTACGGCCGGGGCCTGGGTCCCCTCTTCTCTCAAACTCAGCAGGATTTGGGGGTCTCCCCCTTCCCTCCCTGCATGTTTGGGGTCCGTCCCCGCCCTGTGACGAGGTGCGTTCACTTGCTTTTGCAGATGCCTTGCGCACGTCGGTCCCTCTGCCCAAAGTTGTCGGCACCAGCCTCAGGGACGCCAAGGTTGACATCACCGACGTAAGGATCGCCTTCCCCACGGCGCTGCCCTCCCGGGCGCGAGGGATGTGCCCACCCCGGGCAGGGACCTGCGGAGCCCAAAGCCCCGCGCCGCCCTGGCCAGCCCCCTCTCCCAGGGGCTGCTCTGGGTTTCCAGGGGGTCCCTCTGCCTGTGGGGCCCCACAGGAGAAACTCGCCTGGGGTATAGGGAAAAGCTGGTGGAAGCCTGAATGAGAAAACGGAATGTTTTTTTTTTTTTTTTCTGCTGCTTCTCCCAGGCGGATGACTCTCCCCACCAGACCCCACTAAAAAGATCCTGCCCAGGAGGAGCCTCCACCCTGCTCGTCGTCTGAGGCAGGCCACGCGCTGCGAGCACCACAGCCCTGCTCCTCTCTGCTCTCCCCAGCTCCGTTTTCCCCTGAGCAGCCCCCTGCGCTGTCGCTGTGTCCGAGGGGGACAGGCGACCGTCGCCGGTCGGCCAGTGCTGGCACGGCCTGGCATCGGGGTAGGGGAAGCTGCTCGGCTGGTGGATGTTGGGGGGGTTCTGTGCCCACTTTTTGCAGCCATAGTCGAGAAGCAGGAGCTTTCTCTTAGGCATAGGTTGGTCTCATATTGCTCATTTAATAAAGTCTTTCACTGCCTCTGTATTTCTCTCTCAGTCTTTATTTGATACGGGTTTCTGCCAGCACCCCTTTGTCTCCACGGTGCCCCTATGCCGTGGAGCCCACGGGCGGGCAGCGCAGCTGCAAGAGGAGGCTGGACCCACAGCGAGCAAGCTGGTACCTCACAGAAAGCGTTTCTGAGGCTCAGCCTGTGGCCCAAGGTGTGAAGCAGCAGCTCAGGTGGGAGCTGGGGTTTGGTGCACAGGGTGCCCCGCTGCCGCCCATCCCCGGCCCGGCCAGACTGATGGGGCCAGAGGACGTGCTCGCAGGGCAACGACGGTGTAGATTTAGCAAAGCCCTTACTGACATTTCTTATTTGGAGCCCTCGTTGCAGCCGCTGCAGGCGAGCCGCTCCTTGCCAAGGGTTCATTTGCAGCACGTCCCAGCCGGTGCCCGCCGGTGCTTGCTGTGCAAGGCTCTGTACGGAGCCAAGCACAGACGAGCTGAGCTAACACCTCCGTGCGGCTTTGTTTGGGAGCGTATTATCCCCTTCTTGTGTAAGATGCACCGGGTCGTTAGCAAGACATTTTATCTCACAGTGGTATTGAAGTGTTGAGAACAGCAGGGCAGAAGCGCCCTGATGGGCTGGAGCTGCCGTGGAGCAGCACGTCCCACCCTGCAGAGGCTTTTCTGAGGCTGCGGCTGCTGGGACAAGAGGGATGAGCCTCAGGAACTGCTTCGCAGGTCGAGCGTTAAATGAGATAAAAATCTCCAGGTGCTTTTCTGTAGTCTCCCCACACGCTGGCTGGAAACTTGAAAAATTACCCCGATGCGGTAGTCTGGGTGTGGCAGCCTGTGGGCAAGCGTTAGCGGGCACTGGGCTGGAATAAGCTGATTTTCCAGCACTCTTGGGGCCAGCAGGAGCCTCACGTGTTGCAGCCCACAGTCTCGGGTTCCTCCTTAGCTCGAGCTCTGGGCTCTTGGGCAAGAGCACTGCCCAATAACTGGGTATCCAATAACCTCTTGCTCAATGCTTTTCCCTGTTTTATGAATCTTTATTTATATTGGAATATGTTAAAACCACAAATGCTGCTTTATACACGCAATCCACTAGCCCAGCTTTTACAATTTAGGCATTTTTCCACTTTTTCTGCCTCAGCTTCGCTATATAAGGACCCACTGTTCCTACACGTTAAAGCAGAGGAGCCTATGGACAGCCGTAAGGTCTGCCCTTGACTGAGAGCTGAGCACTGAAGACCAAAGCCAGGCTTTGAAATTCAGGATAAGGCCAGGTAAAGAAAGGCAGTCACAACAGTGGTACGGGGTGTTGTAAGCTTGGAGGGACAGAGCCACCATTTTACCTACAAGCCTTACAATATACTCTGGTGAGCAAGGAAAAAAACACGGGAATAATACCAGTAATGGTAGAAAAGCAGGTAAGTAATTCTGGTTTATACTTAGTGACTAGCCTGAAAAATCAGCAAAGAAGGTTGCTATAGTAAAATGAAAATCCTTCTCTGAATTCAAAAATACATTCTTTTGACACAAAAAGTTAGGGATTTTTATGTTGCAATATCGTTTTATGGTTGTTATTATTATTTCTTTTGTTATAAGGTTAAAACATGCCGTTTTAAGAAGAAAGGCTTTATTCCAAATGCGAGTTGCTAGTATAATTGCAGCATTAATTTGCATCCCCATTTACAGGGTGGTTATTAGCGAGGGGAGCTCAGTGTAGTCTCTAGGTTACGAGTAACGATTTCACGCCGCAAGTTTCAAATTGTGTCAGGGCGAGCAGGGGAGGAAAGGGGCAGGTGGCTCGCTGGAATGAGCAAACAGGCGCTGGGGTTGTGCAGAAAACGCCTCGACAAGGTCCCTGCAGATGTGTGTGCAGACACCCCCCGCTCCCCTTTGCGTGTGTCCAATCTCTTTGCCGACAGTGGCTCCAACTCCTGGACTGGTTCGGTCCTCCTAAAGCTCATGTTCTCCATCCGTGGAAACATTCTCACCCCGCTCGCAGTATCCGACTCCCCTTCCTCCCCAGGGGGGTCACCCAGCCTCGTCCCGCGCTTTTCCCGTTGTCTTTGCCCAGGTCCTGCCAGCACCCGCGGCTCGCCCGGCCGAGCAGGAGACACCATGGCACCGGCGCTGGGCATCGCCCTCCTGGGCGCCCTGCTGAGCCCCTCGCTGAGCCAGCCCACAGATGCCGTCCTCAGGCTCAGCCAAAGCGTTTTAAGCGACGGTGAGTCACTCTGCCTCCTCGTAGCGGGACCCTGGGAAACAGGAACCAGCGGTGGCCCCGGGGGGGTGGCACGGTGCCGCCAGCGCAGCCCCATCCGCCGGCGACGGGAGGGGAATTGCACATGGCAGGGGAAGAGCACGAGGCTGGCGCGCAAGCCTCCCCCTCCACACTGAGCCCGGAGCCATTTTTTGAATGTAATTAAAATTTCAACTGGCCCGGCAGCTAAAAGGACATTGCTCGTGGGGGGGATTGCTCCTCCCGGGAGCCTGCGCCGCTCCGGAGGCGTGAGCCCCACAGCACCCCAATTACCTGACATTTAGGATTTACCAGTGCCCAACCCCTGCGCCTGTGCCGCACCATTCGCCCTCTTACTGGCGCAGCTGCAGATCCCTCTGTGCTTTGCGCAGGTCTTAACGAGGTGCCTCCCGGCCTGGATCCCAAAGCCCTTTTTCTGTCCTTGTGGGAGAAACTGGTAGTTGGGGGGCTGGGCTAGGCAGCGACGGCAACGGGGCGCACAAACCCCTCGAGGGCCCGTGCTTGAGGGGCACAAGGAGCAGCGGCGCGGGCAGGGGGCTGGCAGGCCGGGGCGGCAGCTCTGCCTCGCAGGCTGATGTGGGTGACGGTTCCAGCCCTTACAGGCTCCCTCGGGCAAGGCGATGTCCTCCAAGGTGCCCTCGGAGCGGTGCCGCTCGGGAGCGGGCGTCCCGGCACGGATGGACGCGGAGACTCGCTGGGTGGCCTCGGAGGAGGTCTCCTCGGCGGCGGTGGTCTGCTCGGTGGCATTACTGGTGGTTTGCTGGGCGGCGGTGGTGGAGGGCTGCTGGGGGGGCTGACTGGTGGTCTGCTCGGTGGAGGGGGTGGTGCTGGTGGAGGCTTGCTGGGCGGAGGGGGTGGTGGAGGTGCTTACGGCGGGGGGCCCACAAACCCTCCCAGAGGCTGGGCGGCAGCCGGTGGCGATGTCCCCGGGGACGGCATCCCCGCGGGGGCTGCTGGAGGAGCGCTGGGACGAGGAGGTCTGCTCGGTGATGGAGGTGTCCTCGGCACGGCGGGGATCCTCGGTGGCCCCGGTGGCCTTCTTGGCAGAGGAGGGCTTCTGGGCGACGGGGGGCTGCTCGGAGGCGGCGGCCTGCTCGGCGTCCTTGGGGAAGGCGGCTTGCTCAGCACCGTCCAGGGGCTCACCGGGTAAGGATGGCACCGCCCCGGCTCCTTGGGGGGGGGGGGGGGGGGAACCTCCATGCTGTTTGGGGGGGCAGTGGTGATGCTTCAGTCAACGCTCAGTTCTGGTCTGGAGCTGGTGCTCTGAAAACCGCTGCCTGCAAGTCCCGCCAGCTTTGCATCGCTGGCTGCAAAGGAGCCTCTTGGGCTTCACGAAAAAAGTTAAAGGAACCAGCAGTTGGAGGGTGCAGGGAGCTGTGCCTCAGCCCTGGGCAGCCCCGCCGCTGCTCCCAGGCCAACACTCACTGGTTCGTAACCAGCCCACTTTAGCTCTTACTTGAAGCCCAGCACCAAGCAGAAGCACAAGCAATGATAAAGCAACTAGTGCAAAGCTTCTGATAAAACTGGAAAATAACTAAAGCAGGAAAATAACTGAGAAAATCTGGTGGCTTTTGCCCTTTCTGGTCTAAACGGCCTCTGAGTCACCCAGCCCTGGAGCAGTGGCTCTGTGCGAGTGGCAGAGCCCAGTGGCGGGGTGCTGGGCTCGGAGCCATGGCCCGCGGTGTCCCCACGCTGTCCCTGCAGGCTGAGGATCGTGGAGCTGACGCTCCCCAGGGTGTCCCTGCGGCTCCTGCCTGGCATCGGCATCCACCTCAACCTCTACACCCGGGTGGCCCTCAATGCCAAGTGGTAGGTCGGGCCGGTGCTGGTGGCAGCATCACAACCGGGGTCCCCGGCGGGGGGGGACACTGCTCCTCTTGGCCGGGAAGCGGCTGCTCCTCTGAAGGTGTCTCCCTTCCCCTTGCGCAGCCTCCTGGGCCTGCTCGACATCGCGGTGGAAGTGAACATCACGTCAAGGGTCAGGCTAACCACGGACGGCACGGGCTGCCCCAAGCTGGTGGCAGAAAGATGCGATACCCTCCTTGGTGGCATTAAAGTCCGACTCCTGAGAGGGTGAGTGATGGAGGTGCCCTCCTCTGCCGGCGCGAGCCGCCTCGCCACCGATGCTGCAGAGCAGCAAACACACGAGGACATCTCCCCACGGTGCAGCCCCACGGGTGACAGTGACACCGGCAGCCGCTGTCCCTGCAGGTGGCAGGTGCCCACCAGCCATGCCACGGGGCTGAGCAAAGGAGGTCCCTGTGTGCCCCTCGCACGTTGCACCCGTGGGGCGTGTTGTCCCAGAGGGCTGCACCGCCCCACGGCAATCCCCGAGGGACTTCTCTGCCCCCTGTGCCACATTCACGGGTCACTTTAACTGACAGCGCACGAGGGCTTCTGAGACGTAAGCACATGGTGTGTTAATCATAGGAACCACGTGGGCTCAGGTTGTTTCTGCTCATTTAAGGAGACACTAATAGATAAAAGGCAGCAATAAATTTCCCACTGGTTATTTTGGGATGCAAATTACACTTATCTCATGCAAAATCCAAGCATTCACAATTCACTTTGCTGCTGCAATTGCCTTGCTCCGGGAGGTCTGCGCTCTGCGCTATTCACAGGGAATTGTTTAACAAGACCCATTTACTTTGCAGCAGGTTTTTTTTTCATGGTGCTCCTTTATTTTTTCCACAGCCTGCTCCCAATTGTAGATAATTTATTGGCAAGTGTCCTGAACAGACTTCTTCCTAATCTGGTAAGTCAGAGTAAACCCCCTTCCCCCTGCCCCAGAAAGGAGCAGTGAGTCTGAAGAGCTGCGGCACGGCTCCCCGCGGCATCGCTGGCGTCCCAGAGCTGCTGCGCCCACCCGCCCACCCGGCGCTTTGGGATTCGTGGGGGGCACGTGCCGTGTCTCCATCTGCTTGGGAGAAGCTGCCGCCTCCTCCCAGGTGCGAGGTCAGCCAGCCCGGTGCAGGGCTGCCCAAGAGCCTCGGCGTTTCTAATGGTGCTCTGGAGTGTGTTATGTGCTAATTGGATCTCCCCTCCCTCCTGAAAGCCCCAGGGTCTCTCCAGCCGTCCCACGTGGGCTCCAGGCCCCAGCCCTCACCCTGCTCCTCTGCCGAGGGGCGAGGACGTGGGGCGAAGGCGAGGATGCAGCCCCGTGGGGTCCCCGGCGGGTGCTCCCGGCCCCGGGGAGAGCGCGGCAGAGCCGAGCTGGGCAGCGGGGCTGCAGCCAGCTCTGGGCGCGGGTTACTCACCATCCCGCCCTCGTCCTTGCAGCTCTGCCCCGTGGTCGACGTCGCCCTGGGACTCGTCAACGACAAGCTGGGACTTGTGAACTGTAAGTACTTGGCGGTCCCGCGCCTTGCCCCTCGTATCACCTCTGCTCCTGTGACGCTTTCCCCTCCGCTGCTGCACCCCAGGTGGAACGAGCAACCCCCCCCCCGGACCCCCAGCAGCTCCCCGGGCAGCAGCCAGGGAGCAGTGCCCCGGCACGCCCTGGGATGCGCTCCCCTCCCCACATCTCTCCTGTCCCTAACCATGGACAGAAGGACCCCTGGGTGGCATCAAAGGGGGGGCTGTGAGCTGCCCCCGCCATGTGCAGCAGCAGCACAAGCTGCTCGTTAGGGAAACAACCTCTGCTGTGGCATTACCGCTCGGCACGGAGCACTCCGAGCCGGGGCCCGAGTTCACCTGCAAGCCAAGGGCTGTTCTGGAAGGAGAAGAGCTGCTGGGCAGGGGAGCGGGGGTTTGCACCTGAGCCCAGCAGGGAATCGCTGACTCCTCTGCTCTCCCCCCAGCGCTGGTACCCCTGGGTTTGCTGGGCAGTATCCAGTACACTGTGTCCAGCCTCCCCCTCGTCACCGGCCACTTCCTAGAGGTAGACTTGAATGTAAGTCCTGCACCTTCTCCTCCATACACGAACAAAGGTTGGGATATTTCCCTTGGGTTTGGGAAGGTCTCGCCGGGCCACCTACACCTGAGCAGGGGCTCCAAGGTCTCTGCGGAAAGCTTGGGGAGGTCCTGGCTCCGTGCCCTGCTCTTACCGCTGCTGCCGTCATGGGAGAGCGCGGCGGGATTTGCATTTCACGAAGTTCTGGAGAAGGAAGTGTCACGGGGCCCGACTTGGCCGTGCATGCAGCGATTTCACACGGAAGGAACATGAAGTTAACCGTAAAGGCAAATATTGCAAACATTTCGGACTGTGCTTCCTTCCCCTGTACCTCCAGACTATCGTCAGGCAAGCGGCGGGAGGCCTGGTGGACTATCCACTGGGAAAGCCAGAAACTGTCCCCACACTGCCACGGGTCCCCATGCCACCCCTGCCCCCCATGGCGGCCACCAGCTCCTCCCAGTTGGGCCTCTCGGTGACCTTCCTCAGCTCGGTGCTGGCTGTCCTGCAGAAGGAGGGTGCCCTGGACCTGGCCATCTCCACCGGCACGGTGAGTGGGGCGCACCGCCCAGCTCCGGGGCTGGAAGGGCTCGGCGCTGTCGGCCGTGCACACCGGTCCCGCCTCCGCTCCTCTGCGCCGTTCACCGGGGGCTCTGCTGTCTAAGCCAAAAAAAGCGAGTGAGAGACCATGTGGTAAAAGCCTCAGGCGTGCTGCTGGTGAAAGCAGGTTCTGCCGAAAACCGCCACACACAGGGGCAGCATTTCTCTCTTTGTCACAGTTTCCTGAGCTCCCACCACTGACAACACGGACCCTCGGAGCCCTGGTTCCTGCGGTGAGTCCTGGTTTCCCCTTGCACGGCAAGTAACCCGCGCAGAGAAGCGGCGTCCAGGGCAGGGGAGGTCTCCCTGTCCCTTCCTCCTTGGAGGCACCATCTCAGACATCCCGCGGACTTGAATGAGCTCTGACTTAGGTCCAAACCTGGAAGCCACAGCAGGACAGAGCCCGGCCTGTCACCCTGCAGCTCTCCTGGGTCACGAGGAGCCTTGCTGCTGGCCCGGCTGTGGGGCTGGCTGCTCCGCCGGCCGGGACGAGATGCTCTCGACAAGGCTCGGGGCATCCGCGGGGCTCAGCTCACAGCCAGCTCGGCTTCACTTCAGCCACCTGAGAGAGATGCAGACGGGGGCTGGAGCAATTCAGGCTCAGATCTGCCCCCGGAGCGCAGCACTGCGCAAATGCTGCCGGCACAGGCAGCCTGCTCTGTCGTTCCTGGTTACGGCACCAGTCGTGCCCCTGCCAGCAGTAACTTTCCATTTTTGGGTATTGACAGGTTTTCAAGGCATACCCCGAGCCACATGAGCTCCTGCTGAAAATTGCAGTTCCCGAAGCACCGGTGGTGACCTTAAAGAAAAATAAAGGTGCGATCCAGCTCATGGCTACAGCAGAGGTGATGGTGATCCATTCAGACGATGTCCAGAAGTCCCTCTGCCTTCTGAATATCGTATGTATGAAGGAACAACCCACGTGGAAATTCCTCCTGCAGTTTCCCCCTCCCTGCCTGGAGGGTGCCCGTAGATGGGACCTGTACCTGATGTGACACAGGTGGGCAAAGGCTGGAGGAGCCACCCCCGGCCCTGACCTCTCTGTTTGACCACAGGATGCCTCCTTGCTGGCCCAGTTTTCAGTCGAGGACAACAAACTGAAGATTAGAGTCAGCCTGGAGAAGTAGGACACTGGTCTTCATCTGGGGGGTGGCCAGGGGTGGCTGTGGGTCTTCCTGGGCTGTGTGACAATGAGAGCATCGACAGGACTGGGTCATCGGAGAAACTGCCTGGACTTTACTCACCTCTGCTTCCTCCTGCAGGGCTGGTCTCTCCTTGGTGTCTTCATCCATCGGTGATTTTGATGTAAGCAGCCTCAGCACATGGGAAATCTATTGCAGCAAGCAAAGTGCTGATAGATACTGGCTTGGGAGAAATAAGGGCCAGTTACATGTCATGGTTGTGTCGTGATTTGAATAGCACTCTTCTTTCACCTCCAGAGATGGATTTGTTTTCATGGATGATCCATGAGCAAATTTCAGAAAAAATCCTCATTGAGAAGGAGAGCTTTTGGGTCCTCAGAGAACCTCAGGACATCCCACACGTGCCCATGTTATCCCTGCGGGATGTGCTGAGGGAGGCTCATCCCTGTGCCTCGTAGGGGATGATGGCAAAAGTCGGGAGGAATACTGGGCTCTCCCGTGGCAGGATGCCTGCAGAGAGCATGTTTGGGTCCCAGCAGTGGTTGCTGCAGGCAGCTTTAATGTCAGGGGGAAAGAGCCTGTGGAATGGCATTATTTTGGGACTAAAATTTGACTGTAGAATGCTTAAAGCCCCATTTCTGTGAAATGGGGAGTTTGCGTCAGACGGGTGTGGAGCTGGAGCACCGAGGGTTCGGGTTGGGTTTAGCTGGTGTGAACGGAGTGTCCCCTCATGCCCGAGGCCGGGCTGGCCGTGGGACTGGCACCACCGGTGGCACTCAGCGACCCCTCTCCATGTCGCAGGTCTCACTCCTGGAGATGCTCGTTGGCCAGATTTTCGACGTTGCTTTCCTGCCTGCAATGAACGGTAAGGAAGCTCTTACGCCTCGCCCGTGTACTCACACCTGCTAGGCTGTGCACGGTCCGGCAGCTTACAGAGGTGTAACTGCCCTCGCCGTATAGAACAGGAGCCGCGGGACCGACCCGCACTGGGGGGGGGGTGGTTCCTTTCACGCAGGAGTGTTTTTCCAGGGGGGGGGATGAACCTGCACATCACGAGACAGGGGTCCCACAGCCCCCCCGCCCCTCCCGGGCTGCTCGCTTTGCCAGCAGGAGCGAATGACGATATGTTTTGCCGAAGCACCAAGTCCCACAACACAAAACCTTTCCAGAGAGCCTTGCGCTCGCGGAAGGAGGGGTTTGCGCTCAGCGTGGATGGAGTGGGGGGCTGAGCCCCCGGCAGCAGCTCGGCAGCGACCCCCCACTCCCACCACGCTGAGCTGGGTTGGCTTGTGACCCGCAGGCGTGCTGGGAGCGGGGGTCCCCCTCCCCAGGCTGCTGAACATCGACTTCAACAGCGCGGACATCAACGTCATCGAAGTAAGTGCTCGGGCGTTCCCCGAGGGTCCCCCATCAGCCCCTCACCTCAAAGGCAGCGCCCGTCGCTTGCGCGGGGGCTCCTCAGGGGGAAGGTGACCCCTTTGCTTCTCCAGGATCTCATCGTGCTGTCGGCGTGAGCTGGGGACACCGGGCTGGGGAGGGACCCCGCTTCACCCCGTCCGCCCCCGGAGGGATGGCAGCCCGGCCTGCCCCAAGGACCCCCACCACATTTCTCTTCCTACCTAACATGGCAAAACAGCAGCTCGGTCTTTTCCATGCAAATGTTGCATCCCGCCTACATTGCTTGGAACAGAAGGAACAGAGGTGGTTTTTGCCTCCAAATGTTGTGTTTTGGACTCTTTTGTGGATGCTCAGAAGGATGCGGGTGTCTTTGGCGTTCTCACACTCAGGTTTTATAAAGTCCAGCCCTCTCCGCAGCCACAGCGGGTGCTCAGACTTGTGGGGGTGGCTGGGTCCAGCAAACCCCAGGGGCTCAGGCCAGACCCCACTGTGCTGGGGACCCCGGCCGTGGTTGGGGGGGGGGGGGGGCTGCAGCCCCTGCCTGGCTGCCCAGCCCCAGCTGTGCCCACCCGGCACCCCGCTCAGGGTGGGCAGAGAGCTGCCTGCCAGCAAATGCTGCCTTAGACCCGGATGTCTTGGCCTCTTTTCAGGGCCTGCACCCAAAGCTGTGGGGTCTCTTGGTCATCTTGAGGACCCCCCCCATGCCATCACCTGCCCCGGGCTTTATTGGGGCTTTATCCTTGGAACGTTTGGGGACACAGGGGTACTTCATTCACCGATGCCTGTGAACTCTGCATGAACCACAGTTTATTTATGCACAGGCTCTTTCCTGTGGTTCAGCTGCCTGTTGAAGCAATGAAGCTTTTGCTAATTTAAAGCTCTAAAGGCACTTATTGCTCTTGGGGCGAAAGGTAATAGCTGTGAGGGCTGTAATATTGCTGCCTTGGAGACTGCCCTGCCCCTGTCAGTCCAGATCCACCCTGAAAAACCACCCGGAACCTCACTCAGGCTTTTCTGTCCTCTTTCATGCTCCTTTTCTCTTCCCCTCTGTATTTATTTCCCCATTTGCTTTTATTTGTTGTCTCTCAAGCCTCCTTTAAACTGCCAAGATCTTTCTTGGAGGCACAAGCAATCTCCTGCGTACTTCTGGGTGACAGGCAGTTTTCACGGCGCAGCTGGTATGCCTTAAATCCACACACTCTTTAGTTTGTGATAACTTTTTTTTTTTTTCTAGTCAGCCTTGGGCTGTTTCTGTGCATAATTAGCTTAATTGGGAGGTAATTGCTCACCCCTCACTGTCCTCAGACCCTTGTGCCCGGCTGAACCTGATGGAGCATCCCCTGGGGAGGAGCTGCCCCAAACTGCCTCTGGGACCCTTGGCTGGAACTGCGATGCTCAGGGAATGGTCTGGGGTCTCTGTGTCCCGTGGGAAGGTGGAGATGCAGGGAGGAGAATGGGGGCTGACAGGTTTCCACCTCTCTGCCTTGGCAGGGAGCGCTGCCCCGGGGCTGCAAAGCTCAGCACCATCGGCCCCACGGCCACGCCAGGGCCCCACGGCACGCACGGTGCTGGTGCTGGTCCTCGCGCCGGGGTCTGGGGCTTGCAGGGGCGCACGGAGGATTTGCAGCCGGGGGGCTGTGGGTGCCAACACCCTCTCGATCCACTCCGAGCCGCTTTGGGAGAGCAAAGCAAGACAGACGCCGAGTAGCAGCAACAGCCTCCCGTGCCACGGCCCGTGGCCACGGCCGGCCACGTGCGAGGAGCTGCGTGGGACCTGAGCCAGAGCATCCCTTCCCCGGGGACGCGAGCCCCTGCCCCAGCACCCCAGGGGGGCTTCCCCGCTGGACCCACGGAGCTCGTTGCCCCCGGCGTGAGCTGCCTTGAGAGCCAGAGGGGACAGGAGGGGCTGAGCCCCGGCGCGGGGTGGCAGCGTGGCCCGGCCGGGCGGGAGAGCGGGTGGGCACCGCACCCAGCCCGAGGGGGGGGAGCCGCGGGGCTGGCTGGGTGCTGCCGGTCACGGGCCGGCGCTGCCGCGGGCGGCATCGGGGATCGGGCTGGGGCAGGGTTCACACTCCACAGCCAGTGAAAGAGGAACTCGCCCGGCCTCATCCTTCCCTGGCCTTTCCTTGTTCCTGCAGCGGGGCTGGATAAGAGCCGCTCCCGCAGAGGCCGTGGGCACCTGCATCGCCGGGCAAGGGGCTCCAGGTGAGTGGCGTGATGGTCCCGCGGCCCCTGAGCTCCCGCTCCCATTAGGCAACCTGCAGCACAGCCTAACTCGGCTTCAGAAGCCCCAGTTTTAATGTTTTCCTTTGATTTCTGTAGCAGCATTTAGTCATTTATGAAAATTATTTTTTAAAGCGTGTGGGGCTCTTGCTTGCCAAATTCCACGTTTATTTTTGTTGTTGTTAAGTTTGTTATAATGACTATGCTAGCAGAAATGGCTAGGACGCTTTTTCATGATCTTGGTGACCAGAATTCAGAACAATTTTCAGCTTCTCGGGTCTCATCTCAGCTGGTATAAAATAAGCATTTATCTGCAAACCCATACATGCGTTTTGCATGTGCAAGATGTTCAGCTCGCTTAAATGCGTGTGACCAAGGAGGTAGCAGCCCAATAGATATTGTTAATAACTGCAGAGATAGTTGTCTCCTTTGTCACGTATTCTCTCTGAGAGCTCTTCTAAAAGACCTGACAACCATTTTGGTATCCTTTCACAATGCTACGCACGTCTTGCAGAGACCCTCCAACAAATCCCACTGATTTTATTTGACACGATTTTCAATAGAAGCTGCTCAAGCCTCTATCTTTCTCTCCTGTTCAATAATCACAGCTACAGGAGCTGTGCATCATTACATGCTGATCAAAGGGAAAACGTAAAAGACAGTCTAGTGAATTAAAGTCTAATTTAATTGTGCCAAGAACTGTCATAGAGGGATTTTTTTAAAGTATCCGGAACAGATAAAGAAGTTGTTCAGCCTGACCTAAATAATGTTATTTCTCAGTGCTGAACCTCTGCAATCCGCAGCCTGTACATTGTTTTTCTCAGAAGACACAAGCCGGGGTGGCTGGCCCGGGACGTGGGCTGTGCAGGCGGGTGCTGCCTTAAACTGGGACCTACAGCAGCACCTCAGCAGGTGCCTCTTTTCATTTCTTTGTAAGCAGCTCTCTGTGCATAAACAAACACTCCACAGCGTTGGTTGCAACCCCAAGAAATCCAGCTCATGTGGGATCATGAGGTCCTTGAAGGTCTTTTCTTTTGACTAGAGGTAGATCAAATACAGGGAAAATGGGCTCTTTTCATAGCCTGAATGGAGCAAGATGAGAAAAACAAACAATCTGCCCACGGAAATGTGAGTCTGATTTTGGCTGTGCTTTGAGCTTTAATAACACAAGGTGTTCTTCGTAACAGGGAGAAGGACACGACTTTGACACACACCATTTTTTATCCAGCTGTGCCCCTTTGAGTGTTCTTCTTTCAGGGCCGTTTTGGAGTGGTCGGAAGCCATCTGTCTCTCTCAGTACAAGGTCCTCCTGCCTCATCTCCATCCCTCTTGCTGTCTTTAAAATGGGATTTTCTCCCTCCAAGCTTCCCAGCGATGCCAGGCACCCAGCTCTGCAGCGGGGTAGCCCAGCCAGGCATGGAGACATCAATGACTCTGGAGCAGAACGTCGCCGTGCTTCAGTTGCGCCCTGATAAGCAGAAGGGCTTTGAGCTTTCTGGGTGGGAAAAGGGTGCTGTGGGTCCTGGCTGGTCCCCCAGGGCTGGGGGTCGGTGCCTGGGGCTGTGTGTTCAGGGGGGGCCTGTCCCAGCGCCCCAGGGTGGAGCACATGAAGGATGGAGAGCCAGACCAGGCTGCTGATTCCAATGTGGTGGGACTGGTGCTTGGGCTGATGTGGGTCTCTCCACAGGTACCTGGTCAGGACATGCTGCCCTTCTTGTGTCTCATCTTTCTTGGGGGCCTCCTGCCCCCCTCCCAGGGCCTCGTCAACCTACGCAGTGTCCTTGGGCTGAGCCCAGTGCAACCCAAAGACGGTAAGCTCAGAGGTTTTCCGTGTTTCCCAGGGGAGCGTCGTGGCACAGGCGGCTGCGCACCCGCCTTGGTCCTAGTGTGTCCTGTGCCACATCAGGCTTGTGGAGCATCCCTCGGCTCATCAGGGACCTGCCTCCTGGCAGGCTCGGCTCCATGGGGAACCCTGCTTTGCACAAGGATGCTCAGGGGTCCCTGTGAGACCTCATGAGCAGATCAGCCTAACGTAGCTCAGCCAACATATCTTGTCAATGAAATCTTTCCAACAGTGGAACTCTGATTACTGACTGGGACTTACTTGGTGCAGGTCTGCTTGGTACTGGTCTTCTTGGCAGTGAAGGTCTCATCAGCAGAAAGAGTGGATTGCTTGGCACAGGCCTTCTTGGTGAAGGTGGGCTACTTGGTACCGGCCTCCTTGGCAGAGAAAGTCCAAGTGGAGAAGAAAGTGAAAGTCCCCTTGATGCAGGAAACAAATCCAGCAGATCTGGGGTCCTTGGCACAGGCCTCCTAGGTGAGGAAGGTCTACTTGGCATGGATGTGCTTGGGAGAGGAGAGCTGTTGGGCAGTGAGAGCCAGAACACTAATGGAGGTCTGACTGTTGCAGGAGGACAACCTGGCAGCAATGGTCTGCTCGGCACAGGCATCCTTGGTGGGGAAGGCCTCGTCAATGGTCTCGTTGGTGGGGAAGACCTCGTCAATGGTCTCGTTGGTGGGGAAGGCCTCGTCAATGGTCTCGTTGGTGGGGAAGGCCTCGTCAATGGTCTCCTTGGTGGGGAAGGCCTTGGCAATGGTCTCCTCAGCAACGGCCTCCTTGGCAATAAAAGCCTTCTTGGAGAGAAAGGTCTGCTTGGCACAGGGCTGCTTGGAAAAGGAGGTCTCCTAGGCAATGGAAGTCTACTTGGTCTCAGTGGTCTGCTGGGTGGAGGAGGACTGCTGGGTGGAGGAGGACTGCTGGGTGGAAGAGTCCCTCACAAGTCAACACACTTTGCCTGGTAAGTCAGAGCAGAAGCACAGCGGTGGTACTCACTGCAGGGTAACAAATAACCTCCACAGGATAAGTTCTCCTAAAGGGGTGCTCCAGAGGTCCAGATCCTCCCTGTTATACAAACCACATGAGGAGCTGTGACAGTCAGAGATGGGAAAATTCTTCCCCATGGGAGTGATGTG